TTTATACCTATTGGAGGTCGTAACCATCAAAAAGGAGTTGAAACAACTGGTGACCATCATCTCCTTTGGGCAAGACAGTGTTTACTGTCTGACCAAATGAGGTGGTTCCAGCCAGTTTGAAACCGTTGCCCACTCTCTTAAATTGTGATAAATGCCACGTTTATCGAGGGTAGTGGGCATATTTCATGGCCATAACCATCCATGCACGTTTCAAAGCAATTATGGAGCTACGTGGACCTCTCGAAAAGTCGCAAAACCGTCAGAAAACTAGGATAATTGTCTCACAATTAGCGAGACATCTTACCCTGTCTCGCGCATCCGAGACAGTAAACACTGTCTCGGATCCCGAGATAGTAAATGTTGACTCACCGATTGTGAGACAACTTCAGGTCTTCTTGTTGTGTTTTTTTGTGTTCTTGTTTTGCTTCCTTTCGCTTTGGTTGATCTCCCCTGACTTAAATGATGGCGTTCTTCATCTTCTCTTCGTCTTGAACTGTGTTCGGGGACCTATAGGCAATTTTTAACGCCTATAGTAACCATTCCTTAAAGCAGAAGAGAGTGACTTGTGAATTCGATGAGGGGGCCCTTACAGGGAAGCAGTCGATATTTGTCGATGCACATTTGGTTGAAGGCATCGATATACAGGATGTCCACTGAGCTCCCCGTGTAAACCATAATCCTCTTCACCTGGAAGCTGTCAATCCGGTTGTTATGACCTTCTGTGACTCGAATAGCAACGTTCATTATCTTCTCTCTATCTCGAGCCATGTGCGGGGACCTATAGGTAATTTTTGACGCCTACAGCCCTCTTAGCATATCACTTTCGGACATTGTTGGATACCCCCCGGGGGGGGGGCCTGCCACTGATCATGTTGATGACCCCCTTATGGTTGGGCTCCGGCGGTCGACTATCCTGGCGTGGTTGGGGCCGAGGCGACCGTGAACGGGATCTCTGGTTAGTCTTGGCTATGGCAGCTTCCCTCCTGTCTTTCTGAGAGATAAGCTTCTGCAGGTACCCTCTCTAGATCAGGTCCTCAATGCCCCTCTTCAAGATAATGCAATCATTGGTGAGATGGTCGTGATCTCTGTGGTAGCAGCAATATTGTCGAGTGTCTCGCTCATGGGTCCGACTCATATTGGGAGGCGGGCTTCGTTAAAGTGGCCTTCCTTTCGGACCATTGCTGAGAGCTTCTGCGAGACGAGGTGTTGAGCGGACATAGTAAGAACGTGGTCTAGGTTCGATCTCTCCGTCGGTCCCGTTCCTGTCGAAGCGGTTTAGAGCGAGGGTTCGGCTCTTAGGGGCTGATACTCCGACCATCTCTTCCTTGCTGAGATGGGCTTTGCCGCGTCGTCGGCGCCAGCTCTGTGCTGTGTATGGCGTCGCTGTGCGGGTGATGTATTGCTGCTGTTGGTGTAACTGTGCCTGCGCTGCGGAGGTCGTAGCATGGAGGTCTCTATGGGCCTTCGGCCTGACATTTATAGGTCGGAGCATTCTCGCATGTCATATACCCGGAGCTTTGGCCATCAGTTGGCATATTGCAACGACGCTTCTTGGCTAGTGAGTCGACCAATTCGTTGTTCTACAAGCCGTCTACAAGAGCAGACATAGCAACCGAACTTCCTAGGTCATTGACCTCCAATCTCTTCGCCTGGAACCTCTTGAAGTAGAACCTCTTGAAGTAGGCTCAAAGGCTCTCTCCTGAAAAGAGATGGCGAGTAGTGTCATTAATAAACCCTAGTAGCTAGATCGCATTTTTTTTTATTTACGTTTCCTCTGAACCAGAATGACGTACTAATAATTATAGAAGATCTTACATTTCAAAAATTAACGAGGAGAAAATTAATTCAAAAATTAGTGAGGATAAATTTTAGATGAGAAGAGACCAGCACATCTCAAAAATTAGTGAGGAGAAAATTGACTATATTAATGCCATAACTCAGGAAGCTTACATTTTATGCCAATTCAAAAATTTAGAGTTACAAGGTTAACTAAAGCTTGTTAGCGTCCTACTCTTGCTAACAGTCTCAAGAACATCAAAAAGGCTTTGCCAAGAAAGTAGGCTTGTCAATCTCGGCCATTGATGACAGCCTCACTAGGCTGCATCTTGTTTACCGCGATCATTCCTCCTTGTTTCTGTCTTCATTATGATTCATCATTGTCATCTGAGGCCTTGCGATCTGGAGCAAGAGAGGATGCTGAGTGCCGATGGCAATTGAGCCATAGCTGTTAAGCTAGGCCAATGAAGATGTATGGTGTTGAGTATATGCCATAGCTGTGACTCGGAAGAGCTTGAAAGATTCAAGGCCTCATTTATCTCTCTTCCGTCTGGATATATCTTTGTGAAGAAGAAGAGCGGAGTATATATAGAGTTAGTGAATGTCTCTTTGTGATGTTAGAGGGGGTATGAAAGCTGCAAGAACCTCAGTGGAGTTATGATGTGGGGTTGAGAGGAACTTTTGTAGGAGGAGAATGTTTAGACTTGTTCGGATGGGGCATAACTTCGTATGTCTAGTGGGCATAACAATGATGAGCCACAAGGTACAAGAACCTGCACTTAAATAAAAAGTAATTGGATAAAACATCGGTATATATAAGTGTAGCGCTAATTGTATACTTGTGATACTGTTTTAGTATTTTTATTAGACTTGAGAAGCTGGATACTGGGTACCTTTCTTACATTGATTTCCAGAACAAGTGGAGAGGGCTAATTTTTATGTGGTTTAAAGAAAGACCTGCGACCAACGATAACGATAAACAAATCTTCACTAGATATAGAGATTACAAATTACATAGGCAAGATCACTAGTTTCCCGGATTCTTCCTTACAAAGATGTTCTATGGACTACATATGTGTGTGTACAGGCACGCTATGATTTTTGTTCTTATGGTAAAACCTAATCATATAAACTTGACACTATACAAAGTTTCCCAAACATTCTTAAACAGAATCCTAATCGAACAGAAATCTAAATTCGGAAGCGACGCGACAAACCTTGGCCGCTGTCAGTCAAGCATTGGTCCGAGAACCTATGGACTTTGATGAGCAAGGTTCGAAGCCGTTCGGATGGTCGATGGGCATTGCCAACGGGGACTCTGACAAATTTCAACAAATCTTAGGGTGAATATGATTACAATTGTTGAGATTTACACCTTCCCTTAGCAGGTAGTGTGGCCCCAGGGGCGTGCTCGCGGCATCTCGAATAAAAATTGAATTCACAACTAGTGAGGTGCGAGTACTTTCGCTTTCTTTGTTTTCGCCAAAGAAAATAATCTTTTCATTGGTCCGAGGATGTAGCTAATCACATTGATTCCCCCCCTTTATTCGCGCCTCCTCCTCTCGCCAATCTGTGACATCTTTTCAGTGGCTAGAACTCGAGGTTTCAAACCAATCTTGAGCAGGATATTCTCCAAATATCCGTCTCTTTTGCTGCAAAAAGGCGGAAGGGATAGTTGACCAGGAACAGTAAAATAAGGGGCTCCTTTGAGCTACGCTTTTGACGAAGGCCTATCGCTTCACAGGGAAAGTTGCCTGCTTTTTTACTAAATTAAAAAAAAAATCAAATCAAAACGCTTGGCGCCCACCACACACGCACGCATCCGAGCCGCCACATCCAACAGCCACATCCACTGATCGCTACGAGCCGTCGCCCTTTCTCGAAATCTAGAGGGTATGCTGATATTGGCAGACAATTCTTTTGAACCCACGTCCAAATTCAAGAGTTCTACCGTCGAACATGCATGCGGTTTTTTTTTCCCCCCCATATTAATTTACAGATCTTATCTGAAATGGTCTGCTTTCTACCATAGTACATCCTTCTCATTTCCTCGATCCCACTTCATGTAGGAATACCCTTCTTAATCCTAATCGCGCGCACCATCAGTAACAGATGAGGAATAATTATTAACCAAATGTTGATCTTAAGGAAGAATATTATCCGAATGTTCTCTCCTTAACTATGGCGACAGGAGGTGGAAAACATCATTAACCATGATCCTAGCCTACATGCAAACAATGCAAACTATACATAAAGCACTCCTTGCCTACTTTTCTATTAAATAAAATCTACAACATTTTCTTATCGCCACACAAAGTTTCTAAATACATCTGCACCCACCATACACTTTCGGGATGCCACATCCAACAACCAAATCTGTATAATGATGATGCTTTTGTCAAAAGTCTTGAGATATACATGATCGATGACCATTAACTGATAGTTGAGGGGGGAATAGACTAAGATATTTAATTGCCAAAAGAAGCAATTGTATATATAAGTAGAAAGTAGAGGAATATGTCCTCCTACTATTATAACACCAACGAGTACAATAAAGCATACGGTAGCTTAGAATTGCCAAAAGCTTCAACTAAAATCAACTTTTTTTTAATAAAAAAAAGCATTGCAAAAGTTGGGGTTTGGAAAAATAAGCGCAGAACTGAAAGGACAAGCAATGGACAAATGGGATAATAAGTCACCAAGCAAATAGTAATTATTAATAACACCATGGATAAAGTTTTGCTGTGATTTCAACAATTTACCATATATATTTTTGAACTTGTGCAAACATTGGTTTTCAGATCTCGTCGTTACCAATTCACTGGTCTTTTCTGTCAACAATACATATACTGATGTAGAAGTAAATGTTCGGAAGCTGAACTAAACTTTTTAGCAGGAAAGGGAGAAAAAAAATCCATTTTCGTAATAACATACTCAAATCATGCTCAACCAATTAGATATGGCTAATTATTTAAACAATAATAAGTACCATAAATTTCTCCTATAGTAATATTGCTTACAAGATTCAGGAATTACTCATTTATTACTTACTTTATAATATCTGTATACACCCTTGGAATTTTAACCAATCTTTGAATAGAATTTCTGTGTAAACTCTTCTTTGAGAAGATTAACTAACTCCAAAAGCTTGGGCGGCAAAACTTTTCTGTTTAATGTATATCGTGATGATAATCAACTGTAACAACAGGAGACTTTAAAAGAAATAAGGTCTGAACACTATGGTTTTTCTGTGTATTTGAGAAATTCCTTTCAAAAGTAGGTATAAGTTCAAACGAACTTCCATGAAGCTATGACAAGACATAAGATGTAGTCGAAAACCTGAAGCAATATTTTTTTTTCAAGCTTAAGAGAACTTTGAGATGAGCTTGTCAACATGAACAATGATGTCATTTATGTGCGGGCGCACTGAAGGGTGAGGCTGGAGCATCCAAACCACGAACTGACGAAATGGTTCAGGATAAGATGGATCGTGTTCAGTTGGCCATTTTATCTGTGCATTCATGACTGTCAACTGCATGCTTCCTCCAGATTCATCGCGTGCATATTCGAAAGGAGATTCACCATACCTATATAGATGAATAAAGATATATGAAGGGTGATACAAATTCGACCAAATCAAAGTCTTTCAAAGATTCGTATTGCAAGATAGATGAACATACTTTACACCATGCATTGTTTTTTTAGTGGAATGTTGGAGTGAAGCACCCCCGCGCTTCATTAAAAAGTTATCAACCACAGCAAGAAAAACACCGCCATGCATTGTCATATGTTACTGACAATCCTTAAGCAAGTATCTTTTTATCTAAAGAAATTTTGAACCAGAGAATTATACTAGAGCCATAAAATATATCAATACATTGTTTGATCGATTTGTTACGGCATACGGATAACCATCAATTCATGAAAACACTTCAATCCCATATCAGAAGTGATGGTAAGCAACATTTCAGTAAGACCACCGTGCAAAAAAGAAAAGGAGGTCTCTTTCAATTGTTTCAGAAGGAACTGAGAACTCTTAAGGCCTCTGAAGAAATGAGGTTAATGGAAAGGATAATCACTTGCATTTCAGCAAACGGTGTTGCTTTCATTGATAACAAACTGAAAACAAAATATGAAATAAATCAATTTTATTCAGTTTGAAATATGTTCACTAATATCCTGTTGTTCTTCATGAAGAGGCCGAGGACAGTGAAACAGTAATTTTGCTTCCAGAGAGTATGCCAATCAAATTGTAAACATATCAAATAGTATTCTAGATTTAGTATGCTTTTACAAATATTATAAGTGGACTATCGAGAATAGACTATACCTATTTAAAAACCTTTCTCACATGTCATAGTTTTTCATGCAGATTTATTAATTTAGAAGCTGCACTTATGATTCTACACAAGAAAGAACAGCCAATTACGACTGTCCTTTTACACGTGCAAGTACTGTAAGGATGATCATATTTTGAAATCAACAAGAAGCTTGAGAACATTTCAAAGAAGAATGTTTTTTTTTGGTGGAATTCAAAGAAAAATGATAAACCTACAAATACCATCATATTTAATGAATGAGGTTTAATGCACGATTAAATGAGTAGAGCAAGTAATGAGTTGGAAAATGGAAATATAGTGAGACTAGATGAAATACTTACATTATTGCGTATAATGTACATCCTAGAGACCAAATATCTGTCCTCTCATCAATGTCAGCATGGCTTGGACAATCCCAAAGCTCAGGTGCTCGGAAAGCTTCCGAAGAATGTTCAGTGGCCCATTCCTATACCGAAGGATCAATAAATAAATGAACCAGTAAGTTGGCACTCGTACATTGATGAGATAACTTTTGTAAAGCAGCTCTAGAGTGTGCGTTTGGAGGTTTTGTGTCTGTGATTTGTTACGAGAGTGCATATTCTTATGGTGTGAGAAGTTTAACCTAAGGTGACTCAGATAATTTCAAGCTCTAGAATTGTTGTTGTGTACAAAAAAGCATGTCGCGTGTACTCTTCTTCAACACCAACAAAACTATATTGTCAGTGACCTACAGTGAGGATATGTTCATCATGGTAAATGGTGTAGGACGCCCATGGAGATGGTCCATGCATGGTGAAATTTTAGGCGGAGGTGATGATGATGAATGTGTGGTCCACATGAAATTGACTCCTGAGATAGGGTCAACCTAGGATAAGGGGTGGGTCTCTCTCTGTGTGCACGTGTTTTAGAGTTACAGGTGCACCTTGGTCGGTTTGAGTCCATATTCCATGTATTAAGATCTATGTAATTGCCAATGTACACAGTTAGTAACATACAAAGACAAACAGGACTATTTATAAATTATATGATAAAAGAGTTCAAATAAATACTCATAAATTTCTGTAGGCTAAAAGACATTGAGCACTTCATCCCCTTGAGGAGGTAAGAGGTTCATCCACAGTGACAGATACCAGAAAAATTATGAACAGTCGAGGAGAAACTGTTTTTGTAGGCTATGTTTGTTAGAGAACACACAAATAAACATGCAACACAAAAATATCTAACTTGTTCAGAACCCTTAAAAGAAAGATAAGAAAAGGAAAAGACACTCATAGTCCTGGAGCAATAATAAGTTTAATTTGATTCAGTTAAGTCCGGCAGAAATACATTCACAACTAGACTAGGAGTAGTAGCAATACCAATAGGGTCTCTAAGATGAAGTTCCACAATTAAGTGAAATTGTGACCATGCAGTAAGTACCAGCTATAAAAAGAAAGAGTTGACCGTCCAAGAAACTTTGTAGCACCCTCCCACAGGCATCCTTACAAAAGCAGACACTTCATTGATTGTTGAACTTTCTACGGGTTCTTAAAAGCCAAAAGTTCCAAAATTCCACACGCTATAAACAAGAAATATTTTTACATGGGATTCAACACGTAAGGATGAAATTATTATGCTTACAGCAGAAACTGAATGGAAGACCTACGCTCACTCTTGGTTTCCCATACCATGTCATTAACCACTTCTGCTAAAAGAAGTGATGAATATAGAAATTGTATATATACCACCAATGGAGTCATTAAACTCAGCTTATGCAAAACCGAACGAGAAGTAGCATGTGTTTCAACCCCAATCTGATAAAACCACACCATTTCACTAACATTGTTTAATAAGCCAAAAGAATCCATAGCCGGTAAGTACAGGATAAACCCAATCTTGCAATTCAGCTGGAGAAAATTGAACAAATAATTACTTGAATAAATAGAAGAAGCAGACAATACCTGAAGCTGCAATGCCTCTGCACGAGATCGGATTTGCCTTCTTGCAGGTTTTGTGCTTCCAAAATCCATTAAAATTGCAACAGGAGGTTGACCTTTTCTATGTGCAATCAGCACATTACCAGGTTTGACATCATTATGTGCATATGGAGGATCAAAATTGTGCATGTGCTTGAGTCCTGCACAAAGCTGTTAATTGCACTGTTAACAAGCATGACACCATAGCGCAGGTATTTTCTGCATCCAAACTAATCGACAATCTATGCAAAAGTTTGAAATCTTAAAACCATTAATAAAGACATCATCCCTAAGTGTCAGCTCCATCAAAATGGGTGTCACCTATAGTTGAGAAATTTTTGAGAAGCCATCCCCCTGGCTGACATCAACTCTCTATACTGAAGCAAACTTGTGGTCAAGGGCCATCATGAGTAGGGCATCTATTAAACTAAGTAAGGAAGCTAAATAAGGGGAGATGACGATATACATCTTTTATAGAAAATGACAACAAAGCACAATGAGAGCTGGAGAGAAAAGGATAACATAGCTCAGAGTCTTCACTCTTCAGACACTACTAAAAAAACCAGTTTTAAGATAAGAGGTGCAGTAACCACATGTTGATATGATTATCATAACCACAAGAGAAGAAAATAAGAATAACAAAAATACAGAGAACACATCATGGATATTCTATAAATGACATATTCTAGAATGACAGAACACCAAATATTGTAATCTATGGCGACCTGTGTGTTGGGAATTTGCCCGCCAGGGTTACGCAAAACCCCTAAGACAGCAGAAACGCAGTATAGAAAAAAATACACTAAGATTTAACGAGGTTCGGCAACTGCCTACGTCCTCGAGAGCCACACAGTAAATTTCTTATTAATCTAACAAGAAATTACAATTCAAGAGTGAATCTCAAACTTGAGATTCCTCAATAAATACAATCTTCACTGTAGCTACAGTAAAGATTCTCTTCTTCTTTAATACCCCTTTTAATAGAGAATATTCCCACAATAAATTCCCCTCAACAAACTGTGAGTTGGAAAATCACGAGAGGAGAAGAGGAAGAAAAACGCTGCTGCGTTTTTGAGTCCGCCGCCAGGAGGTTTAGATCGCGAGAGAGAAAATGGGGGGTCTATAGTTTCGGCCGTGGGGTTTCCCTTTTATAGGGAAACCCTAGATGAGCTGTCGACAGCCTGGAAATCCTCCACGAGCTCGCCTGTCACGAGTGCCTCGACCCCGCCTGCTAGCTACGAGCCCGCCTATAAGTCAATCTCGCTTGCAGCTGCGAAGAACTCGCCTGCACGAGAAGTCGCCAGCCACAAGAAGTCGCCTGCACGAGAAGTCACCAGCACGAGAACTCGCCTGCAACTCGAGCTCCGCCTGCAGCCGCTAACCTCGTCTGAGCTTCATCCTCGCCTGGAGAAGCTCGTCTGTAGGTTTGGGCTTCACCCCCAATTCTAACAATCTCCCACTTGGAGACCAAATCGTCGTCAACAGGCTATCTCATCAAGCTCTCCTCCTGTGTAGCTCCGTCCTCATCACCTATGCATGAATGCCAACTGAATTTGCGCACAACTCCAGTTTCTGAACGGTCACCGTCTTTGTTAATATATCTGTTGGATTCTTACTTCCTGAAATCTTCTTCAGTTTTAACACGTCATCTTCCAACAGGGATCTGATGAAGTGGTACCGAAGCGCAATATGCTTCGTTCTAGAATAAAATGCGGAATTCTTAGCCAAGTGAATCGCACTCTAACTATCGCTATGCAAAACATTTTTCTCCTGATTGAATCTCAGTTTTGTTAATAAACCCTGAAATCATATCATCTTTTTACTGGCTTCAGTCACTGTAACATACTCAGCTTCTGTAGTGGACAGAGTGATAATCTTCTGTATCTGTGACATCCAACTAACAGTTGTAGTTCCGATAATGAATACATAGCCGGTGGTGCTTCTTCGGTGATCGACTTTACCTTCAAAGTCTGCATCTACATACCCTTGCACTTCCACCTCTCCCTTACCTAAGTGCAAACACTTCTGTGTAGTGCCTCGTAAATACCTCAGAATCCACTTGACTGTTTCCCAATGAGCTTTTCCTGGATTCGACATAAACCGGCTGACCACTCCCATTACATGGTCAATGTCTGGTCTCGTACAGACCATTACGTACATCAAACTTCCGATAGCTGAGGCGTAAGGGACCTTAGTCATACTCTCTTTCTCTTCATCTGACTGAGGAGACTGATCCTTCGATAGGTGAAAATGGCTGGTCAATGGTGTGCTCACTGGCTTGACGTCGCTCATGTTAAATCTTTGTAAAACACGATTGATGTACTCCGTTTGAGATAACTGCAAAAGACCTTTCTTCTTATCTCTCGTGATTTGCATTCCAATGATCTTCTTTGCTGGACCCAAGTCCTCCATGTCAAACTCTTTTGACAACTGCTACTTTAAACTCCTGATATCCTCCATATGTGCACCTGCAACCAACATATCATCAATATATAATAGTAGGATGATATAGCTGGACTAATATCTTTTGAAATAGCAACAGTGGTCGGCGTTACACTTCTGAAAACCTTCTTTGTGCATAAAGCCGTCAAACTTTTTGTACCACTATCTTGGGGCTTGTTTCAGGCCATACAAGCTCTTCTTGAGTCTGCACACCAGGTTTTTCTTCTTTTCTTCTGAGAAATCTTCTGACTGATGCATGTATATCTCCTCTTCTAGATCTCCATGAAGAAACACCATCTTCACGTCTAACTGCTCGAGATGAAGATCTTTAATAGCTACAATACCCATCACTGTCCTGATAGTATTTAGCTTCACCACGGGAGCGAAAATATCGGTATAATCAATTCCTTCCTTCTGCTGGAATCATTTGACAACTAGTCGAGGTTTATATCTTCTGGAGTCGTCCTGCTCCTCTTTCACCCGGTACACCCATTTATTGTGGAGTACCTTCTTATCCGTAGGCAACTCAGCTAGTTCTCACGTCTGGTTTGAGATGAGAGACTTCATCTCATCTTTCATGACAAGCTCCCACTTGCTCGCATCTCCACTCTGACAAGCTTCATCAAAGCTTTCAGGCTCCCCACCATCTGTCAGCAACAGATAGTTCATGTATCTCCTGTTGGGTACAGGAGGACGAGAAGTTCTTCTCAATATCGGAGCTGGTACGTCGAGCTCCTACGTACCATCTTGTCCAACATGCTCTTCTGGCTGAGGACCCTCTGCATTGGGTTCTTTCGAGAGGTTACCTGGGACAACATCTCTATCTATAAATGTTGACTCGCTCTCTGAGTCATCTGTCTTGTGCATGTCTTTGTATATTACCTTCTCGTTGAATATCACATCTCTGCTCCTGATCACCTTCTTGTTTTCGTTGTCCCAAATGCGGTAGCCGAACTCATCTTCACCATAACCGATGAAAGTGTATTTCTTTGACTTGGGATCAAGCTTATTCCTGCCTTGATCACTAATATGCACGTAAGTTACACAACCGAAAACTTTAAGATGTGAGAGTTTTACCTTCTTTCTACACCATACCTCCTCTGGTATTCTGTGCTCCAATAGAACCGATGCATCTCGGTTGATCAAGTAAGCTGCTGTGTTGATCGATTCTGTCCAGAACTGTTTCGGTAGGCCTGACTATACCCGAATGCTTATGGCTCTCTCTGTCAATGTTCGGTTCATCCGCTCAGCTACACCATTTTGCTGAGACATACCGGGCACAGTTCTCTCCATTCTGATCCCGTGCTCATAGCAGAACTTCTTAAATTCGATGTCTTCATACTCATCGCCATTATCGGTCATGAGCTTCTTTATTCTCAGACCGGTCTCATTCTCAACTATGGCTTTTCATCTCCTGAAAGCCTCAAATACTTCTGACTTATGCTTCAGAAAGTAGACGCATACTTTTCGAGAGTGATCATCAATGAAAGTCACAAAGTAGTGTTTCCCACCAATAGACGCGGTGGTGGTTGGTACCCAAACATCTGAATGAACGAACTCTAGCTTTTCTTTCCTGGGGATTCTGCCACTTGTCTGAAAGCTGACTCTCTTCTGCTTTCCAAGTATGCATTCTTCACACACATCCATCTCCACTGACTGCAGTCCTGAGAGTTTTCCCTTTGTGTGCATGATTTTTATCCCCTTCTCACTCATATGACCGAGTCTCTGGTGTCATAACTTTGAAGTCTCATTGTCTGCTGCAATGGAGATCAAACAACATGCACCTGCTGTCATATACAAGATACCAATCTTCTTACCTCGGGCAATCGTCATTGCGTCCTTTGAGATCTTTCAATCATCTCCATGGAAGGTCGTGGTGTATCATTCGCCAGCCAACTGACCTACGGATATTAAGTTCTTTCTTAGGTCGGGAATATGTCTAACATCCTTCAGCTCTCATACTGACCCGTTCAACTTAATTTTCACCACATTTGCCCACAATAGCACACAGTTGATCATCACCAAGATATACGTATCCAAGATTTCCGGGAACATACTTCTCGAAGAATTCTTTCTGAGAAGTAGCATGGAACGACGCTCCTGAATTTAACACCCAAGATTCCTCCTTGCTCTCCAAAAAATATATCAATGCGTCGTCTCCTCCTGAGGTGGAAGTGACATTCACCTCTGCCTTCGCCTCCTCCTTTTGTGTATTCTTGTACTGATTCTTGTCATGCCCGGTCTTTCCACAATTCCAACATTCGATAGCCTTCGAGTTGTTGCTTGGATTCCTTGACTTGGACCTCCTGTCCTTTGATCTATCTCTGTAGTTTGATTTGCCTCGTTCGTTCCCTCTGGTTGAATTTCTACCTCTTGACTCTGTATGTAATACTGAAGAGATTAAAGCTTCACCCGACTCTCTCCGTCGGATCTCCTCGCTGAGAACCAGATCACGAACATCATCGAACTTTAACTTGGTGCTTCCCGACGAGCTACTCACTGTCGTGACTGTAGCGTTCCAGCTTTCTGGTAGGGAAGACAAAAGTATCAACACCCGAACTTCCTCATCAAACTCAATTTCAACTGAACTCAATTGGGTTGTGACCGTGTTGAGTTCATTGAGGTGTTGTGCTACTGACGCGCCTTCCGTCATTCTCAGATTGAATAACCTTCGCTTCAAATAAACTTTGTTCGCAGCTAATGGCTTCTCATACATGTTTGAGAGTGCTTCCATAAGACCCGTCGTGGTTTTCTCCTTTGCTATGTTGAACGCAACATTACGAGTCAACGTCAATATAATATCTCCGAGGGCTTGTCTGTCTAGAAGGTTTCACTCATTTACCTTCATAGAATCTGGCTTTTTCCCCGATAGTGGTTGATACAGATTTTTTCGATACAGATAATCCTCTATCTGTATTTTTCAGAATCCGAAATATGTTCCATCAAACTTCTCAAGACTCGTTTTTTCTTCATCTGCGGTCATGACTCCCACTTGAATCTGACTTCCTCTAAATCGTTCCAGAGCTCTGATACCAGTTGTTGGGAATTTACCCGTCGGGGTTACGTAAAACCCCTAAGACAGTAGAAACGCAGTATAAAAAAAATACATTAAGATTTAACGAGGTTCAGCAACTGCCTACGTCCTCAGGAGCCACACAGTAAATTTCTTATTAATCTAACAAGAAATTACAATTCAAGAGCGAATCTCAAACTTGAGATTCCTCAATAAATACAATCTTCACTGTAGCTACAGTAAAGATTCCCCTCTGATTCCTCAATAAATACAATCTTCACTGTAGCTACAGTAAAGATTCCCCTCTTCTTTAATACCCCTTTTTAATAGAGAATATTCCCACAATAAATTCCCCTCAACAAACTGTGAGCTGGAAAATCACGAGAGGAGAAGAGGAAGAAAACCGCTGCTGTGTTTTTGAGTCCGCCGCCAGGAGGTTTAGATCGCGAGAGAGAAAAGGAGGGGTCTATAGTTTCGTCCCTGGGGTTTCCCTTTTATAGGGAAACCCTAGATGAGCTGTCGACAGGCTGTCGACAGCGTAGAAATCCTCCACGAGCTCGCCTGTCACGAGCGCCTCGACCCCGCCTGCTAGCTACGAGCCCGCCTATGAGTCAATCTTGCCTGCAGCTGCGAAGAACTCGCCTGCACGAGAAGTTGCCAGCCACGAGAAGTCGCCTGCACGAGAAGTCGCCAGCACGAGAACTCGCCTGCAACTCGAGCTCCGCCTGCAGCCGTTGACCTCGCCTGAGCTTCATCCTCGCCTGGAGAAGCTCGCCTACAGGTTTGGGCTTCACCCCCAATTCTAACACTGTGAGAACGTGCTCACATCATCAGATAATTTAAAACTTCTCTCTTCTCCTATCAAATGGGGCACTCCTCTAAATTGAGGAGGCTCCACAAGAATTCCTACTACCTAGATATCGAAGTTGTACTGGTTTAAAAGAATAGAAATAAGAAAACTATTATATATGTAATATGTTAAAGTGCATGTAATAAATGAAAGCTTGCAGTCACCTGTCTGAATATTTGAAGAACAGTGAGAGTAGGAAAGTATTCCTTCTTAGTTTGCATAACTTTGGTGTTGTCCAGCAGATTTCCATCCAGGTGAACTGGAAATAGAAGATATGCTTCATGGTTCTGTGACCCACCTTGTGTACCCTAAAAAAGAATAAATGCAAAAATTAAGTAACAATCTACTGTTATTTCAACAAATTCATTAACAATATGGCAAATAATAGTCGAAAGTACGGTTCACGTGCATGCTTAAGAAGAATCTACGTATCAACAGATGGTTCTTGGACAACAGATAACTCTTCTTCAGAATAACACCAAGAACAAGTTTCACAAGGTGTGAATATCAACAAAGTGAGAAACTTATTTCATACTATTTTAAAGGATTAAAAGTATCATAGACTAGAAGGGTCAAGTTGTTGTAGTTCACTAGAAGGTACAAGAAACTCCTTTTGTGGATGATTCAAATTATATTACCTGCAAGAAGAAATTCAAGAATAGAAAAACTACAATAAAGATCATTTTCTTTGTAGTTTGAGTTGAGACATCGATTATTGCTTGTATGATTGATTAGTCGCTACAATCTTCCATACCATTTGCTACTCTTATCATTATTATCCGTTAGTAGAGGAATAATATATTGTCCCATTACCCTCTAAGGTGTCTACTTGAGGATGCAGCTTAAGATACCTTTCTTCATTCCATATTGGCTGTATAATACTGAAATCATTTTTTTTTTCTTTATGTATAGTCTTGGAGCCTAATCAGAATGCCAATTTTAAATAGAATCCTGATTAGTAGAAATCTAAAGACTTAGAATTCAAGCTTTCTGAACTCCAAGACTCAAAATATATCGCAAGGATAAAGAGCATAAATACATAAAATCTCATGATCAGGGCATCAAGGATGCCAGTTAAGGAACATACATGATGAATGAAGATTGTCCAGTCAGTATGTTAATATGTGGTTATAAACTGTCTAAGATGCATCACAGCTATACAGCTATGGACAATAGGCATGCTTACATATTGATTAAGGTTGGTGAAGTACAATTTAATCCAGATATAATGCTTATATTTTCTAGGAAACTAGGTCTACTTGCTCTGATCAACACTGGTGACATCAATATGGAATTCAGTTTCGCATCAATGTATAGACTGTGTATCCTTCTATTAGAAAATTCTATAAAGAATAGACAAAACAAGCCCCTCTGAATATTTCTTCAAAATGATGTTTGACTAGTCCAATAACTAAATCTATTTACATTTGAAACAAAAGTAGATATCCCTGAAACAGGACAATAATTCTCAAAACCAATTATGAAGTATACACAAATGATATGTGACTCATATCCATTTGTTCTTGTTAGAATTAATATAAAACTATAATCCTCGATCCTCACCATAACTTCGAAGTTTTGGTGTAATGGTTAGAGGAACTAAATTTAAGATGGTATCAGAGCAACCCAGGTTCAAATCCCACCGGCCACGAATTAAATGCGGATTTTCTAAAAATTGACACCGCTACGTGAGTTCAGGTTTCGACCCATAAAAATGGGCGCTCAACCTGCGGGGGCATGTTAGAATTAATATAAAACTATAATCCTCGATCCTCACCATAACTTCGAAGTTTTGGTGTAATGGTTAGAGGAACTAAATTTAAGAGTTCTTAAAGATTTTCAAAATTTCCCAGAAGCAAAATTAAGAATGAAAACATTAGAAACATGCATTACTAATTATCAAGATGTGTAGGAAATTAACAAACAAAGTTCAAATAAAATGAGGAATAATTGTAATTTAGTAAGTCTGTTTGTTAGGTCACAACAAAAAGGGTATATGTAATAGTCACCTTAACTGTGATAATAGCATGATCAAGAAGAGGAAGCAGGTTAGGATGACTGAATAAAGAAGAAACATGTATCTCTTCCTTCACCAACTCTAGCTGCTCTTCATTTTGAATTATGACTTTTTTCATAGCATATGTCCCTTCATCTGGAACAAAGAAGTGTCAGAAATATATCTCTTAGCACTTGGAGAATGGGTAATCAGAAAAGGGCATAATTGTAAGGGTTCTAGTTAATCAAAAAAGAGAAAAGTAACAGAGACATGTAGCTTAGGATTTCATCCCTGAAGGGTAATCAGAATATATGCAACTATATTATGTTTTATATTCTTTTTCCTTTCTTTGGTTTTGCATATATCTTTGAAGTCTTTTTTATGGTGTAAATTTGGTCGACTTTCCACCTCAAAAGAAAAAAAACTACCCTCTCTTTAATTCATCATCAAAATAGAATACTCTAAGTAAGTCACAAGCATTTGTGCTAAAATACTTCTTATCAACATCAGATACCCTTCATTTTCCTTACAATCTTCATGTACAGTTCATACTACATTTAGTCAGAAGGCAAAATGTATAGAATATAAAATAATGAGGAAACTTCGCAAAACAATTGTGAACTATTAGAAATTTTACATAAAAGTACTATAAATCACTTTAATTAAAGACATACCACAAACTTATGAAAAAGACCATATGCTATCATAACATTTCCCTAATGGCATTAACAAAATTGTTAAAAAGTCCTGGAATATTCCAAAATATGTCACATGTGAATCATGCGCCAATTTACACTACTATCTGTCAATCATGCAGTTTAGTAATAAAGATTATGGTATTTTTCTCTTATAAAATAGTGTATGACATTCATCTGTAAACCTCTATTCACTTATTAGTTTTGTGAATATAAATCATAATCTTAAACCTTCATCATAGTATTCCAAATTTTGATGCAGCAGAAGGTACTTTAAGACAAGAAAATTAACATTATAATGTGATCAATTTCAGCACAACATTTTCATCAAATTCCATCTGATCCTCTCTAACAATCTAAAACAAATAAGGAATTTGAAGATACGCATGTGTATTATATACCTGATATGGATGGCACTACATCAAGTCATGGGGTTTTTCTTTTTAAAAAAAAGGTAGCTATTATATTTCTTCTTAAAACCTCTAACTACTCATGACAGTTTCCTGAAATTTAGCCAAATTGTGATGCTCAATCCTCATCACGAATTTAAAACTTTTTTACGTAATGAAAAGGGTTTATAACAGATGTACCTCCTGTACACACCAGCGCGACCCTGATTCAAATCTCACAGCACACTTTTAAAGCCGATTTTCACAAATGCAAGGAAATCAAATTTTTTGTAGAAATTCAAGGAAATCAAATTTTTGGTACTTTTCCTTTTCCCCTTTTTTTTCTTAAGAAATTGAACCAAACACCCCCTAAGACAAAACAATCAGCATCAGACCCAAAAGTTCTCACCAAATGCCAATATCAGCTCGGCATTTCATCAAATACGTTCAGATCTATAACAATCCAAAACTAATATCGAACATATATACCTGAAATGTGAGAAGGGTCGATGGATTTGTTCTTGAGGAGCCCAGAGCGGGCCCCATCACCGGCGAGGATCTCCTTCACGAGGAATACATAACCAGAGACTCCGCTGTCACCGGCGATGGGGCCGCTGAGGGGCCTCAAGATCTTGAAGCGGTTCTCGTTGATCCAAACGCCGCCATTGACGGCGTCGTAGAATGCGTTCAGGCCTGAGAACGAGCAACCCATCTCTCCTCTGTCAATGTCAATTATAAATGTACCATTAATGGAGAGAAGAGATCTCCCTCATTTTTTTCCCCTCCATATTTTATGTGTTTGTGAATGTTGCTTGTATTTTCAAACAGATCTCTCCTCGAAAGCAGCTCGACCTCTCAAAGTCTTCGCTAGTAACGTGCATTTATATACACATACACGCTGTCGGTGTTTAAGCTGCCGGTGTTTAAGCGCGCACCCATTTCTAGAGCCGTACAAACGGGCCGTGCCGGATTTTCGGGACCGGGCCTGCGAAAATGACTAGCCCGGATTCGGACCTGACTCGGCCAGGGTCGGGTCTCGGTCAGGGCAAACCACGCCGAGCTTTGGTCTGGCCCTGATTTTTTTATTATTGTTTTATTTTTTGCTAAAAATTGATTAAAATTAGATTAATTTTATTTTATCTATATAAGTATGTATTAGTATATACTTACATATTAGTATATAGTTGTATACCATATATAAGTATATATGAATATACATTAATGACCATATCATACTATAATTATATATATAGTGTACATGCATTAATGATCATATCATACTATAATTATACATAAAAATTATATATATATATATAATTAAAAATCAGGCCGGGCCGGGCCGGGCCTGCCCAACCTTTATGGGTCTTATCCGGGCCCGGCCGGTCCGGGTCAGGTCCGAACCCGAAAGCCCATTTGGACAGCTCTACCTATTTCTACTGTCTGTGAAATTGTGAGTCTCCCTTCTATCTTTTTTTGGTGAATTTACTTGAGAATGTTAATTTAGAAAGTGTAAATTACACTTAACTTCCATATTGTTTACCCAATATTGCATACATATGCCCAATATTGTTTACTCTAAGTTGCATTTTAGTACCATCGGTTATGCAAACATGAGAATTTTTTCCCCAAAATTTGGCATTTTCACATGATATTTTCAGAACATTTCAGCCATTGTTTTTGTAAAATATATGGTTAAACCTACCAAAATTATATTTTAAACCTACCCTAATTCTATCTAAAAAGGGATTTTGAACAACACTGATTTTTATGTTAAAAATGGGGTTTCTATGAAGAATCCACCAAATGAGCCCCCATAATTTTTCGGTAGAATGATGTTTGACTAGTCCAGTAAGTAAATCTCGGAATGAAACACATTTTCATTTGAAGGACAAATTTTCAAAACTAACCGGTTGTAAGATTTATTTTTAAAAAATCAATCTATTTAAGATTTATTTAGCATTTTTGGCCCAGTTTCAGCTACCTGACTGAAACTGGGTGGAAAATGCTAAATAAGTTGCGAAAACTTCACACGATTCTAAATTTCATGAAGTTTAGGCACATAATTAATCAGCGTTGATCAAAATTGCTTGGTGGAGGGGAGGAATAGCACCAAACTTCACGGGATTCGAAATCCTGTGAAGTTTGGCTGCAACTTCACGGGATTTAGAATCCCTTGAAGTTGGGGGCCCCTCCTGACTTAAACCGCTATATTCTCTCTCTCTCTCTCGCTATATTCTCTCTCTCTCTCTCTCTCTCTCTCTCTCTCCTCTCTCTCTCTCTCTCTCTCTCTCTCCTCTCTCTCTCTCTCTCTCTCTCTCTCTCTCTCTCTCTCTTATTTCATTCGGTCTCTCTCTGTACCCCCCCCCCCCCAACTTCTTAGATCCACCGCCATTGGTGACTCCATACATACCGGCCATCTCCAATCACGTCCCATCATCGTTGCCAACCTCCTTTAGCTGCGCCAAAGTTTGTCGGATCTCAAATGTAGTGCTTGAAGTTATTTTTGGTAAAATTTTTAAATGTTTTTAGTTTTTCTCCTAATTTTTTACATATTCTCACTATTTCATCATGATAGCTTTTTTAGTTTAGATTTTGTATTAATTTTTTTTTGAATTTTGTGAAGAAAAAAATAAGAAAATTTGTTAAAAATCTGATGGAAAATTAGGGAAAATTATAAAAATTAGTGAAAACGTAAGAAGGGTTCTAGAATGGTCTGTGATGATGGAGCCGACACTTCTCATAGTAAGGCGCGTGATGATGGAGTTGATACTTCTCAGCCTCATACACAACCAAATACTCAGATCATCAAGGCTCATCTATGTGATATGATATTTACATTGTGATATGATGTTTATTTTGTGATTTTGAATCTCATGAATATATATGGTTAGATTGTTCGAAATTGTTGCTTGTGTGGATCAATTTTCGTGTATATATGTTCGTATATACACGCGGCTAAAATTTCATGTTTATGGTTAAATTTTCGTATATATTGTTATGAATGAGGCGGAAAATACTGTATATACAAGTTGTAAATAAGGTAGAAAATGCGTTGTGCGTGCATGTCTACCCAACTTCATGGGAGTCTAAATCCCGTGAAGTTGGAGGAACCAATCGCCATAAAGCTCAATCGAGCTCTCTGTCAATTGAAGTCTACAACTTCATGGGATATGGAATCCCGTGAAGTTGCAGTCAAACTTCACGAGAATCAGAATCCAGTGAAGTTTCGTGGCACTCCTCCGCCTATGCCAAGCTTTTTTATTTAGGTTATAATTATGTGCCTAAACTTCACAGGATTTAGAATTCCGTAAAGTTTTCACAACTAATTTAGCATTTTCGGCCCAGTTTCAGCCAGTTGGCTGAAACTAGGCTGGAAATGTTAAATAAATCTCAAATAGGTAGATTTTTAAAAATAAATCTCAAAAATGGTTGGTTGTGAAAATTTGTCCGCATTTAAAAAAAAGGAAGTTGATATCTGTGAGAAAGGACAATGATTCTCACAACCAGTTATGAACTGCACAGAATTAGTATTTGAATCAAGTTAATTTGCTCTTAGAATTTGTCAGAATTTCACATTTGGGGCTGTTCACTCAGAATCCTCACAAAACGCATGGTGGAAACTGTCTGCAGACGCAGCACAGAAAGATACATATGATTGGATATAAAATGAAGATTAGTAAAGTGTTTTTTAATTAATAATGCATTAAAAAGATGCATACCAATGAGACACTAATTTCCAAGTCCACTTGTATCACAATAATCCAAGCGTATGCGTCTCTTTGATGCACTTCCCATACAATGAATCAGAACCACCAAATACTTCCTCATTTTACATTACGACTATGATAAAACAAAGATACACACATGTAACTGCCACTATAAGCATGAATGTCTTCTATTACAACTTTTTTCAAACAAAATAACCTCTAAAGATTAGAAATGGAGAGACAAGAATCCAGCCAAAAAGGGCCTAATAGCAACCAAAGAGAAACTGTTACGTTCTAATGGTTCGGAAATTTTCTGAATTTAATCCCATACAAAATTGATGCTAGCTAAAATATTGATTTCATAACTCAGAAGTTCCATCAAGGCTATCTGCATCAAAAGAATCATCCTGAGGAAATGCTACACAGACAAATGGGCAAAATTTACAGGTAAAAATCAGAATAGGCTGATTCTGATCATGATACAAGGAGCCTTGGCGCAGTTATTTAAGCAGCAAAGCAAATAAATTAACAGAACCAAGGACTGGTGCATTTTCTGAAAACTTCCAAGGATTCCAGTTTTTCGAAGGTTTCTGTTGCAAAAACTCCACAAATTATCAACGACTGATTTCATTCTCTGAACAAATGAGTCGGTGTTTGCTATCAGAATCCTGATGAAGTATCTCTGCATATTGCTTCGTTGGAAACGCAAAAAACACTGCTGATATGGTCTTCAAACCTTCTGAATTACTCTTAGTTTAGCGCTTCTGCATCTACAATTCAACTTCTCTTCCTCCTCCGAAGGTGTTATGGGCCTCTTCGTGAGAACTATCCCATGCTTGCCTTCTACTCTCTGTTTACTCCAAAGTTCCTCACCAACATCCGTCTCATCCTTATTCCAACCTTTAAAATTCTCAAAATTCCCGTTTTCATCCCCATTTCCTATGATATCAAGAAAAGTCTTTTTTACAATCCTGTCCTCTAAACTATGGAAGGAGATAACAGCAAGACGACCACCAGAGGAGAGAGAGTCAAAACAAGCATAGAGAGCATCCTCTAGAGTCTGGAGTTCATCGTTAACTGCTATCCTGAGTGCTTGAAACACTCGTGTTGCTGTCTTGATCCACCCTTGTCTCCCTGAAATTGGTAGAATCAGGCATTTGTTGTATCTATTAATTTTTGAGTGACTAAAGTAAATGGCTTCTTTGGCTACAAATTTCTTTTTGTTCTTTCAGTTTGGAGCAAAGTGCACATTTCAGATGCTACGGCTGCTCAATAAATTAGACACATGTCAGCAACTAACTCAACAAGAATAAAAGCAATTCTTGAGAAAATATGTCCATATTTAACGAACTTTATGTGTTAGTTAGCAAATTTTGTTCAGTACAATGGCAAAGGCAGGAACCAACTGGATCTATTTCTTTTAAATAAAAATGAAGAAAGGGATTATCTGCAGGTCCATATCATAAGCATTCAGTATGTCTGCCAATTCAAGCTGATAGGCAGCACTATGTGGAACAGAAATAATTTTTTTAATGCAAAACAGAGAAAATAGAGAAAGATAAACAGCAAGAGTTTAAGTTTGCTCACCACCAAATCCTGTAGATGAACTTCGTATTAGCTTTACTAGTTCACTAGTGGAACGCAAACCCCCATCAGCACGAGCCTGAACAATCTTTCTCTGAAGAGAGCGCCAGTTGCTCTCCTCTCCATATTCTCGCAATATTCGTCCTACTTCATCCTCTGGCCAAGAATTCAAAATGTCCTCTGCCTTTAAACTTGCCTGTCATGGTCCTATTCAATTAGCCAAAAATCAACTTTCTTCGCGTCATATGAGATAACATACATAGCTATCATGCTAGAGCAGACAGAACGCCATTCTAATATAAGCCCGTTGCTGAGATGAGAGTGAAACAAAGAAGGCTAGTGATGCAATACTGGCTTCTAACTCTCGATGCACTTAGATTAGGATTGTTAGTGTTAAGAATCTCAAAATATATGGAATTCACCTCGGATAGAATTTTAGTTTTTACTTATTTTGTTTATAGACTGTATTAGATAGTGGGTTCACTATAAAGCTGTCGATTTGGATTCAAATGTGTACATGTGTCAGGATTAGATCTGAAAACTTTGTTCTATCTCATGATATGTAAGCCTATAATTGACTGGGTTACTTTGTTTGGATTCATCTAACTGCTGTTCCGACAATTATTAGAAAAGAAAAGATAACCTAATTCAAGTCCACTTCTTTGTGCCAGTACTGCATTGAGATGCTGCTCTTCTAATGGCATATATTAGTGTTTTAAGTATTTGTCTCATAATTCCCACATTGACATGAGAATAGAAGAGGACAAGGATATATATCTAAGATAAGATCAGCTAAGCTTTTGCTCAGACTGTGCCACCACCTAAAATGACACTAGTTATAATACTCATGAGGCAACACAAGGCTCAAGCTCCCCCTTCAATGATCTGTCCAGGGATTTCCAAGAACCAATCACCATTCTTTACCACATAGAGGCCTTCCAGTCCTAACATGATACATGATAAACTTCTATCTTATCATCTCTGTCAAAGGATTATATCACTACACCATAATTCCAAAGTTCTAGTGAGGGGTGAGGGTTATAAATTTATATTCTAGCATGCCATCACAGGTTAAGGGCCCTTTCGCAGGCCAAACCCTGACTGATCTTTCTTTTTAATTCATTTTAGACTGCTAGTAAGATTTGAACTTGGATTGCTCTGATATCATGTCAAAGGACCTTGCCATTATACCAAAAATGTAGAATTGTGGTCAGGGTTGAGAGTTATAATTTGGATAAATTTTACTTGACCCCGTCAACTTTGGAGGTTTTGCACATAACCCTCCTCGAACTTTGTTATTCCGCTTAACCCCAAGAGCGCCCCCCCCCCCCCCACCAAAAAAAAAAAACACACACAGTAGCACCATGAAGTTTGACTGCTCACACACAAGCACGTGACGACAAAGGACCTCAGTTTATTAAACATTAACCCTTATCATTTTTGGGGTATTATTTCAAAAGGGCATTTTGGTCATTTCACCATTAGCAAGCAACATCCTCAGGTTGGTATGTCGCAAAACTTACAGGTTTAGTGGGCTAAACAAAGGTTTCTGTTTTTGTTTGGGGCGGGGGGGGGGGGGGGGGGGGTTGTTATGTGGGAAACCCTAAAGTTCTGCGGTGTCGAGCGAATTTTATATACTTTTAACACTCTACATAATATTTCTAGACGGAATCATACATTTCGAAGGTGATAACTTCAATGATCTATCAAATAAGCACTGACTGATGTCATAAACTGGCTTTAGAAATAAAGGCAAAGGCGACAACACAATCTTACATTTTAAGGCTATAAAATTTCTCCAAAAGCAAATATTCAAATAAACTTACGTAAAAGACCTCATATAAAGTTCATACCTGAGGATTCATCCGCATATCCAACGGCCCCTCACCAAGAACACTAAACCCTCTCTCCGAGCGATCAACCTATAAAAATTCAACCCAGCTGAAGCAATTCATCAAACGCCTTACACGCAACACCCAAAACCCACTACCAACAAACAAATACCTGCATCGACGACATCCCCAAGTCCATCAGGACCCCATCCACGCCCTCCTTCAGCAGATCCTCATCAATCCCGGCAAGCACAGACTTTATGTACTTGAAATTCCTCAAATGAGTGTAAGCCTTCAGCCCCTCAGAGCCCTTCAGCAGCCCCTCAATCCGAGCTCGGCCTTTCTCGTGGGCGACCGGGTCGACGTCCAACCCAACATAGACCTCCAGCTCCCTGTGCATCTCTATAACCTTACAAAATCAAGCACAACAGCATCAAGATCGAGAAACCAGATAAAAGAGAGAGAGAGAGAGAGAGAGAGAGAGAGAGAGAGTGGAACGGGGAGCAGAACGAAGGAACGGACGGCGGAGGAGTGGCCGGCGGCGAAGCCGAGAGTGCAGTCGACGAAGGAGCGGAGGCGGGGGCGGCGTCGGAAGACGTGGAGGACCTCGCCGAGCATGACGGGCACGTGATCGCCGGGGGGGTCGCGTAGCGGTCGTAAGAGGTCGGGTCGAACTGGGTCAGGGAGCGGTCCGCCTCTTCAGGTGGTCGGCGAGAGGGAGGTTTCTCATGGTCTTCTTTGGGGATTTCGGGCTTCGGGGTTTCTTCTTGGTGGAGGAGGATAAGGTCGTCCCACGGCGGGATGGGAGGGCTAAGGAGTTGGGGTAAGGCGGAGGAGGGCGGAGTAGCGAGAAGGGCGCCTTGTCGGCATTATCGACGGCATGCCGGAGGAGAGCAGCCGGGGGTTAGCGGGAAGGGGAGAGACTGGAGCGAGGATCGTTTAGCTCGACGGAGTCCTCAGGGAGCGACAAAATTTGGAGTCACAAAGAAGAGGATTTTTGTCATGTTAGACCCCAAATCTTTGTTAATTCTATGCTGGACCCTCAGTTCCTCGTGTTTCTAAAATCAGACCAAAACTCATTAGCTTGTTTAAATAGCACCCCGAACATTCACGTTTTGGGAGTCTAATTAAAAAATCTCTCCCGCATTCCCCTGATTAAGGATATGATGGTTGAAAGTTCTTCCACAGACAAAATAGTAACTTCACTAGGACCTCTGTTAGATTAAAATGTTAATTTAAGACCTTGTGATTAGTTAAACCTTTCCAATTAACACCCTCACGACTTCTTTTTATCTCGTGACAGAGATTTAGAAAAAAGAAATTCTGTCTCGATTTTTAATGCGTTAAAAACTTTAGTAATTAAAGCTATAAAACCTTCTATTTTTTATTTCCCTTAAAAATTAAACAGCTTAATCCATCCCTTCTTCCTTTCTTTCCTCCTTTCAAACTCCTCGGATCTATTTATACTTCCTGCGAGGAATTTTTTTTAATATTTTTCACAGGAATCTTCCAAGACCTATTCAGGTGCCATATTGTTTTCTATTTTATTTCTTGGGAAAAATGTGTCTAGGCCCCAAAATCAAAAATTTTATGTGTTGCAGCCCATTCAATTTTACTCATGTGGTTCAGCCCCTTAAATATCACATTTTGTACTGCAGCTCCTTTTTAGCAATTATTACATACCAACTAAGCTAAAATCCCCAAAATAACATTATCATCTCTCCTCAATCCCTCAAACTCAGTGCCTCATCGTCGCTCCCCGCCTCGCCCTTGACTACGCCGGAGTTCGCCGCTGCTGCTCTCCGCCTTGCCCTTGAGTTCGCCGCTGCCACACCGCACAACTTCGCTGCTTAAGTTTTCCTGCTCTCACCCCCTGAAAGGTTCTATAAATATTTATCCCTCTCTTGTTTATATTTTCCTCTCAAATAATATTGAATCAGAATTTTCAATGGAAGATCAATTGAAATCCGAGCAGAGCAACAAGAATCCCGATGACTCAAGATCTCATAAACCCTAAGGCCTCTCTCATACCATCATCCCTCACATTCTGAACTTGTAAATCCCACTCTTTCTTTTTTTTGTTCCTTTCTTTCAAATATTTTGATCAAAATAATTGGTAATTTTGTTTTTTTTTTAGATATGGGTCACGAGCTACAGCTAAAGACTTTGAGATTTATGACACTAACACTACTTTTGAGGATCCCCTAACGCTACTTTTGATCAAAATAGTTCTAGTTCTAATTTATGGCTCTTGGGTTCTTGTGTTAGTTCTAACTCACCGCGTGTCTCTTGGGTTCTTGTGTTAGTTCTAACTCACCGCGTGTTAGTTCTAGTTCTAATTCATGGCTCTTGAGCTCTTGTGTTAGTTCTAACTCACCGTGTGTTAGTTCTAACTCACCGCGTGTTAGTTCTAGTTCTAATTTGTATCTTTACTTGTTTGCTTCCATCTCTCTAAACTCTATTGTGCCTTAAATGCAGGCTGGCCTATCATCCTATGTCTCACCTGATATGCTAGCTTCTGTACCCAACCCTGGAGCCATGGCGGCTGCAGCATGGTACAGAGCAGCAGCGCTCGTCATTGAGAAGAAGATGCGGGATTCAAAGAGCTAAGACAATTTTACCTAGAAGATTACGAGCTTTGTAGTACATAGATATTTATCTACCAACATTTCCTTTTTGAAGTTTTCACCCCCTTTTTAGCTCATTTTGTTTTCCTCTTGTGCCTGTGCATGAGTTGAGAAAGCTGAGTATTGTTCATTTTCTTGGTAACATCATAAAAAACCATATTATAAAATAAAGAAGATCTGACACAGTATAATAAAAAATTCAAGTATATTTCTATGTTTGTATCTCTCTTTGATGGTTTTATTTTTATGGGTAATTGTCTGTGTGCTTCTGTAATGTATTGTGGTCATGATATCTGTATACATGAAATTTTCTCCCTTTATCCTGTTGTTTGGATGGGTTCCCAGGACCCCAGCTCATGCAAGACCCTGCAGTGATCATCTGCAGCAGCTTCTGAAGTGGTCATCTTTATTTAGTTGTCCTGTTATTTCATCTTTTTATTGATGGCTAACACAAGAGCCCAAGAGCCGTGAATTAGAACTAAAACTAATATGCGGTGAGTTAGAACTAACATATGGTGTGTTAGAACTAACACGCTGTGAGTTAGAACTAACACAATAGACCAAGAGCCATGAATTAGAACTAGAACTAACACGCGGTGAATTAAAGGTAACACAAGAGTCCAAGAGCTATGAATTAAACTAGAACTAACGCACGATGAGTTAGAACTAATACGCGATGAGTTAGAGCTAACACAAGAGCTCAAGAGCCATGAATTAGAACTAAAACTAACATGCTGTGAGTTAGAACTAACACGCGGTGAGTAAGAACTAACACGCGGTGAGTTAGAACTGTCACGCGGTGAGTTAGAACTAACACAAGAGCCAAGAGCTATGAATTAGAAATAGAACTAATACACAATGCGTTAGAACTAACATGCAGTGCGTTAGAACTAACACACGGTGAGTTAGACCTAACACAAGAGCCTAAGAGCCATGAATTAGAACTAGAACTAACACGCGGTGAGTTAGAACTAATACAAGAGCCCAAGAGCCATGCATTAGAACTAGAACTAACATGCAGTGAGTTAGAACTAACAAGAGCCCAAACAAACGTCCACACTCCTTGGCCTCTCATCTCATTGTCCCTTCTCTTTCTCCAAAAAAATCAGAATTAAATCCCAAAAAATAAATAAATTTGCTCGCATAATCAAGATAGCCTCCGCTCGATGGCCGCAGTCGCCGCCTGCAACGACCTCATCCTTTCCCCCGCGTTCCGGTCACCTCCCAACCACTCGCTTCTCCGTCGGCGAGGTGGTGTTCGGACTCTAACGAGGCCCTTAGCTGCATGCTCGACGTCGTTTCCTTTCAAGGGGAGGGTTAGATAGCATCGGAGATTGGGACACGTGCCGCTTCTCTCATTTGTTGCTCTGCTCGTCTCTCGTTATCTTTTTCTTTCAATTAGATTACTTTAGTTTTAAATTTATGTGCACATGCACCTAAAGAGAATTAAAGAATTATAGTCGTATTAGTTTTTCTTTTTCCGTCAAGAAGCTATGTAGCTGAATGCAAAGTTCTGGGATAATGCCTTGCTGTTTGTAATATTTCGGTTTATCTTCTTGGATCCTTCTCTTTATTAGTAAAGGCTTAGTTGAAACTGAGAAAGATGATAATACCTTTTAAGCTTTTCACAGTTGTTGGGTTGGGTTGGGTTAAGAGAATATGGAGGTGGCGACGGCAAGGAGGACGAGGGCCAGGGCTGAGGCAGCGACGGTGAGGAGGGTGAGGGCCGGGCGACGAGCTTGAGAAAGCCATTGGTTTTAGAGAGAGTAGAGAGAGGGAGAGGGGGGAGAGATAGAGAGAGAGAGAGAGAGAGAGAGAGAGAGAGAGAGAGTGAGAGAGAGAGAGAGAGAGAGAGAGAGAGAGAGAGAGAAAGAGAGAGAAGATGAGATATGGTGAGAGAGAGCGCTGGGATTTGAGGGATTGAGGAGAGGGATGAGAACATTTTGGGGATTTTAGCTTAGTTGGCATGTAATAATTTCTAAAAAGGGGCTGTAGCATAAAATGTTAAAATGTTACATTTTAAGGGGATGAACCACATAGAGAAAGTTGAAGGGCTGCAGCACATGAAGTTTCTGCTTTTGGGACCTGGACACATTTTTCCCTTATTTCTTTTATTTGTAATTAATTTTGTGAAAAAAATCTAATGTGCCTCGTATACATATGTTCAATTAAAAACAGGTGACTAATTACATTTAACAACGCAGTCACTTTTATGATGAGAAGAACTGTGAACAGTATCGTATTATTGTCTCTTTGAAAATTTAAGGGAAATTTGCTTGGAGTAACTAAATATAATTAGGATATGCATCATCACCCCTAACTAGAGTCAACCACTTGTAAGCACATTGACCTAAGTTTTCATGCTTTTACACTCCTAGCCCAACATTGTATATGTATTTTATAGTGTATTTTTGAGTATTGCTCATTTTACCCTTTGTACTCATTTGTGGAGAGAGTAAAGTATTTTGTCGTATTGGCCAGCATAGCAAGCCATCATGAATTTAGAAATCACTTCCGATTGGGAGTTATGGCTGGAGAGGTTTTTTGGAGTGAAAGGGAAATTTGGAGGGAAATCTGCTAAGTCTTCCCTCCAAAATAATGCATCATATCAATGTATTATATTCTTCCCTCTTTAGATCTACTCCTAAGACCTTCAACAACCTTCTGTAGGCGTATAAAACTGCCAATAGGTCCCTTAACACAACTCGACGACGCCGATTCGACGAACCGACCATCGGGCGACGTATGCAGACACGATTGTTAGTCCACAACACCGAAGCCAAGTGATACGTGACGAAACGGATTAACGAGGCTACGAGGCTAACGAACCGCACGCAAACAACGGAATAAATCCACTCGCGTGCGGAATTTAGCTAACGGGTTGAGGAATCAACGAGTTATCCAACTAAGAGCGGACTCGGACGAATCACGATCGAATCAAGATCAGTTTCAGACTCGAACTCAGAAGTGGATTTATTGCCAAATCAGGTCAGCGAATCGAGTCCGAACAAGTCAACGGTGGTTCATTTGTTCAAAGGTTGGATTTTTTGGAGGCGAAGCCCTGCTGGATTGAAGACTCAGATCTAAAAAAGATCCAAGCTTTGGGACTTCGAGGACTTGTTCATCCAGATCTGGTGCTCGGCGATCGTCAACGTCAAATAAGGTAAGAGTTCGAGAGGACCGGATCTCAGATCTACGCAGGCGTACTCCGGATCAAAGATTGGTCTTTGATCCCGAGATTTGGGTGATTGTTTCCTTGGTGAACTAATCCCCCCGGCTATTATTTTCTTGGTGAAATAATACCTGTCGTACTGCGTAGATCCGACCGGATCTAGATTGCATGGTAATCCACGGATAAACCCCGGCGCAGGCGAAGAACCCACAAAACGAGCAACCGCAAAACAGGAGCTCGCGATT